AAAAATAAAACAATTTTTAAAATAATTGGGACAAATTTCCGTTTTCTTTCTTTCTTTATATAAAAATTAAAAAAATAAAACGGGTTAAAAAAAAATATTACCTTAAAATTGTTTATAATTTTTGTCATTATTTTTATTCCGAATTAATAATTTTTCATTTCAAAATAACTTATTCCGAAAAAGAAATTTTATAAAAAAATATAAGCTTGTGGCGCCATGAATGAAAAGACAAAAATAGAACAAATTTGGGATTTAATAAAAAACAAATTATTTTTTTAAAAAAATAACATACTTTGTTATAAATTTTCTTCAATTGCAATGAGTCCATTTTTCCCATAAAGAATTTCCAAGTTTACTAACTTTCCAAAGTTTTTCGATATTGTTTTAAAAAGAATTTATAAACATTACATTACTTTAATATAATAAAAAAAATAAAATTATAACACCCCCCCCTTCTTTTTTTTGATTTATATTTTTAAATAAAGAAAAGATAGGATTTTTTTTCTGTGAAATTTTTAAATATTTTTAAAAAAACTAATATTAAATAAAAAACACATTTTGTTTTTTTTTATATACATATAAGAAGATAAATAACATTTGTTTGTTTTTTTTTGCTTAAAAGAATGCCTTTTTTCGGTCTTTTAAAAAAAAATATGTTATAATTTATAGGATAATTATTTAACATATATAATATAAAAAATAAAATAAATAATTATGTATATGGTTATTTATGGGATGGGGGAAATTTTTTCTACAATTCCTATAATTTAACGTGTGTGCTTTTTTTTTGCAACTTTATTATTATTACTGCTTATTGTGTGCTATTGCTTAAGCTCTTTATTTTATACCGTAAGTATTTGTTTTTTTCTCTTTAACCATAGCATAGCTATTATACACAAACCAAATACTGAATTTTTTTTTTCGTAATCTTGAATTTTTTTTTAATAGTAAATATTTTAAAATTGCCATTGCCATGGTTAGAGTTAGGATAGAGATTTATTATATTATTCTTAATAAAAAATTACTATTTTTGTTTACGTAAAATATAATAAAAGGGTGGAAAAACGGAGGAGCAAGAAAAAAAAACTTTAATAATACTTCATCTGTTCTTTTTTTTTTACCAAGCTTGAGCTTTCTTAAATAAAAAAAAAAGAAGAAAATCCCATATTTATAACGTTATTTTTTTTTTACGAAGATATAATATTTAATTTTGAATAAATAAGGGATTTTTTTTTAAAAACATGTTGGCTGTTATGCAACTACGAATTTTCTCAACGTTTAGATCTGATTGTCGAAGGGCCGCGAAATAAATACATTTTATCTAGAAGTCCGTGGTAAAAAAGAGAGAGAAGCTTATATGAGTTGCGCGAAATTATCCAGGACTCTTTAGGGAGAATTTAGTTTTTTTAAAAAAAAATCAGACCGAATATGAGATTGATCAAGAACTTTAAGGATGAGGGTAATTCCTACCTTTGTTGACTTGCGCAACAAATTTAAAACCATACCCACTTAAAAATTGAGACCATATTGAGTTAAATTGGTTCCCATCATATTCTAAATGAATTATTAATATTCTAAAAAAAATATATAAATATCTAAATTGAAAATAAGTAATATTGTGTAGTCAATTTTTTAAAAAATATTACCCTACTTTGCTAGTGTTGTTAAAAAGCCCTATTTGGGTCGATTTTTAAAACGGCCCGATTAAGTATGTATGCACTGAGATTTGGCAAATAGATGCCCAAGCATTTATGCTAGCTATGTGCGAATAGGCTTACATATAGTTATTGGTTATGAATCGGGCTTTTAAATAACACTACGACTTTCATCAATATTCGACCCCATCTCATTTTTAAAAATAATGACCAACACTCAAAAAAACTTTCAGTATTATGTGAACAAAATTTAAATATTAATTATTTAAAATATATAACTAATGATCGTCCTAACTTATGCTAAAATATCCATTGTTTTCGCCGCAGCTAAATTAAAATTGTGTTACAACTACTTTTTGTGTTTATAACTGCGGGATATTGGCACACATTCGGAGATACGGATTTCCAGATAAACTCAAAGAATCTCTCATTGTTTTAGGTCGCTAATTTCTAAACCTTCGTTTAAGTAAACCTCTAATGCTTTCACTTGGGATCTGCTGTATGCTAACCTATTGATAGTAGGATCCTATGAAAAGGAGATTCTTTGATTTACTTAACTCTCCAATAAATGAATTGATAGTATCATTACTTAGTTGACGGTGTTTTGATATTTAACAATAATTATTGTATTATTTATAAATAAAACAGTCCTTTTGCACTCACGCAACCCAGGCGCGTAGCCATGAATTTTCTACAAGGAAAAGGGGTGGGAATAATTTTTTTCATTTATTAACATAATCTCGAGATTTAGGCGACATTTTTTTTTGGGTAAAATATTGAGTTAGTCGTTTTTAAAAATCGGCTTAAATCGAATCGCTTAAAACAACAAAATGACAGTTTCGAATTACAAATAAATATTAGAAAATACAAAATATTTTTGGACGAATAATCTCAATGTATATTAAGTAAATTAGAGTCCATGCAATCGATTTTAAGATAGTGTTTTATTCTCCGTAATGAAGAAAGGATCCTCATTTTATTGTTGCCAAAGTATATAGTAATTTTAATATATTTTGGAAAAAATACCTCCAAAATATATTTTTAAAGTAAACAATGATTTAATTGCATTTCTTGGAGGATTATCTACTTAAAATTAATATTTCATACCAAGATTTAAATTCTGGTATTAATAGGCCCTCAGATATACTTATATATCCTCTGAATGAAATTTTGCGAAATATATAATTTTTCAATATCAGGATTTAGTGTATCCTTAGAACGATTTATAGGTAAATTTGGAAGAGCCATTTGATGAAGTGTTACAGGCGTTAATCACTTCGAAGCCCTCATTGAGATAGTTTATATAGCCAGTCTAGAAAAAATCAAAAGGCTTTGGTTCAAATAGCATCTGAATTGGGCATTCAGTTGCCGAAGATTGGAAGGGTCGATCGGTGTTTAGCCGTTTTCGCACTGTTAGTTAAGGCAGTTTGAAATAACTATGAGGCTCTCTATACGTATTTCAAAAATTTAGCTAATTCTATCAACAATGCAAAATCTAACGGGCTGTCCAACCAATTAGGAAGTGGTGAATTCTTATTTAGATTTCAGCTTGATGTATGATGTTCTATTTAAATTTTACAATCTGTCTTTAAGGGTGATTCTTTTTTAAAAATCATTTAAGGATATCCTAGTACGTTCTAAATCTCTCTTGTAATTTCTAAATGAATGTTTGTTTAATATTTCTAAATGTGAACATATGAAAATAGATCATGAAGTTATAGAAATATAAATTTGGATTAGTAATATCAGAGACCTGCAGAGGTACCACTTGCATGGTCCGGCCAGGATTTTTTTAAAATATATTATATTTATTTTTGATTTCTATAGCTAATAATGGCGATTTCAAATATTTGGTTTTAAAGTATAAAGCCCGACCCGGATATTTAAAATAAATATTTCCAGGCCCAGCCCGGCCCTGGTATATTTAAAAAAAATTAAAATACGGAGTAATATTGAAGAAAAACAGTTGACACTTTTTGGTATCAATACAATTCAATTAATTACTGCCTTTAATAGACAATATGCTAAAATAGATTAATGGATGCTAATTCCAATAATTCTATTAATTAAAAGATGGCTATCTTATCTGATATGGAATATTTACGAAAAAGCATAACTGGCCAGCAGACACTCACTAATTATGGGGAAATTATAGAAAATTAAACGACTTTGTTTCCGACTGAAGTTGATATGAATCTCACAATAAATGGGATGAGGGAATAATATATTGATGATAATAATGAAAATAATAAATGTTCCCGTGATTTGAAAGAGTTTCTAAATTGTATTAACACAATTCCTTATAGTACCGCTCTGAATGTGAGCGCGGCTTTCACCTTGTGAATTATCATTATGACGAATTTGCTTTCATTATGATAAATCATATATCCAGTAATGATGATAAACTTTAACCGGCATTCTCTCATTCAGTAGAATTCTTCTCCATATTTAAAAATGGCTGACAAGTCAACGATAACCAGCGTCCGAATTATTAAAAAGATTGAACAAGATTCGTTACCTCTTTTTTAAAAAAAATCTATTCTGATTTCTGCATGAATGCTATTATTCAACGTGTCCTTAAATCTGCTCAGATTCCATCGATCCTAAAACCTCTCAGTCTCTTCACATCTGATGGAAAACGTTCGGAGGGCATAATCCAAATTCCTTAGAAGAGGGATCAATTCTTAATTTGGGACTATCCCTGTATTGATCCCTTAGCCCCCCCCCCCCACACAAATCTTAACACAAATATCTTTGATCTCAAAGATCTGTCTAAAATGAATAAATATTTGGAAATACTTACTATTTTTATGCCTATAATCTCCTCTACATTAGCTACATTTGGCATAAGCTTTATTCCTCTTCAAAAAACCTGGTTCACGCATAACCCTAAAATACTGATGATCCGAGGGAAGGTTTTTTTTTATCTCAGATAAAGGCTTTCTATTTACCATACAGATGCACAAATCGAATACATCAGCTTGAAGCCTCCTTCCCAAGGAACCAACTTAACTTTTATAAAAATCCTTTTTACAGCATTCTAAAAAAATTACCTCATTTTTTTAAATACGATTTTTGAAATATATTTTAATTTATTTTTTATAAAACAATAGCTCTTTCGTATAATGTATTTTATATGAAATGCTTCGATATAAATTATAAATTATTTTTTTTAAAAAAATTGCCTCAAATTCCTAGAAAAAATAAAAATTTGATTCATTTTTTTGACCATTTTAATCGTAGCCTCCTCCCCCTACTTTTTTTTAGAGTAATGACGTGCCTCAGTTGATTTTAGGACTATAACACTGATACCCCTATAAATTTATTTTCCATACATCATTTTAGCGCCGTAAAGATAATCCTAAACAAGCTGGTTGACAAAACATGGGTTATCGACGAAAAAAAAGACGACGGTTACACGGCTCTTCATTTGGCAGCTCTCAATAATCACGTGGAGGTTTTGGATCTATTACTAGATCAGGTTTGAAAATTAAAAAAAGGAAAGTATAACATATACCTTAAAAGGTTACTAAAATTCCTATTTTTGACCTTGAAGTTAGATCCAGAGCCAGTGACGTCATTGGAGAGGGGGCGTAGGGGCTCGAGCTCCCTGAAAAGTTTGAAGAGTCTCTTGACTTTTTTTAGTGAATATTTATAAAAAAAGATAATTTTGAAAATAAAAGCTAGTGATGACAGCTATGCTCGTTCCTGTTCGGTCCCACCGAACTTGAATCTGTCAAACTCTCCAAACCTGGCTTTGATTCTAGAATCTTCGTTCGTGTCGGACTCGTCACCGAAATTTGCTGTTAGAGTTTATAATTTTCTTTGACTCTCCTATAATTTTCCTCGGCCCGATATTTTGCTTTTAACTTTGATTTACGGATAGTACTAGGAATAAGATTTAGGATCGGACGCGGACCTATGGAAAAATGGTGGGATCAGATCTGCCGGACATTTTGTCTCAGATTAGGCTGCACCTGAAAAGATAGGCTTGATGCCGGAACTATAACATCACGTGCTTGTAATTTTTCTTAGCGCGTTTTATGCTTCATTAAACAACGGAATTTTATTTAACTATTAAAAATTGGAGAATCAGTAACGAAGAAGAAAAAAGGATTGATTTAGATAAATGGGTTAATTTTAAACTAGAAAAATATTTTAGGTTTATATAGTCACATTTAAAAAAAATGTTATCAGTATTTCTTCTAAATAGACGAACTTATGTTGATTAGTATTATTATAGAGTACACGACACGCAAATCAAACATTTATAATTCTTTTAACTATAACAAAACCCAGGGTAAAGCTGACCCCAATGCCCGTAACGCGAACTTGCAAACCGCTCTTCATTTGGCCGTGGAGAGACAACACTTCGGGGCCGTTAAGCGGCTCCTAACACCTCGGGTTAAGGCGCACGTCGATCTAACTTCATCCCACTCCTCTAATGCCTATTATAACCGAGAAGATCATACGAATATCGGGAAAAATTTGGAAGTAAATGGGAAATATGACGACGTGTCTAGCAACGCGGATACGAGTAAAATTTGCTGCGCCGTGGAGGCTCAGGATAAAGATGGGGACACGGCGCTTCACGAAGCCGTGAGGCATCATACCCTGGCTCAGCTAAAACATTTGAGAGAACTCCAGGATATCGGAAAAGTTTCATTTCTTTCATTCATTATGTCATTGCAACTTGTACGTTTATGTTTGGACGTTTGTTAGAACACGATTAGAGTATTTTATGGAATTTACTTAAACATTTAAAGGCAAATAAATATGTAAGGAATATTATATTTTGATTTATTCTGTAATGTAATACTTTCTTTATTAAATGATTCATGAGTGAGAGGAGATTTTTTATTAATTGCTGGGGGGTATGATTTATTTTCACGAGTACCAATCTTTTAATCCAATATAATCTTTTTTTCCATCCTTCACTCACGACTTATTAGTTATTAATAGGCGTCGGCCTAAACATCAACCAAAACTCGATTTCTAATATCCCCCTCAACCGAGCTAATTTAGCGAACCCCTCATCCCCAGCGAACGGTTCCGACACTGTCCCCATTAATCCCAATCCCTCCATCAGCAATGAAAATTCCCGCAACACCTTGAATATTCCAGGATCGGCTCCTCAATATTCCTCCTGCAACGGCAATGGCTCCAATCTCCTGAACATTAAAAAGAGCAGCGCGGCCATAGCCTGTTATTTGGTAAGCAAGGGTGGCCTGGCTGGGGCCTTATGTCTGGATATCAAGAATAAGAAAGGCCAAACCCCTCTAGACCTTTGCCCAGATCCTAACTTGACCAAGGCGCTCAAAAACTTTTACAGGATGTACGTGAAAGAAAGGTTCGATTTATATTTATTTATTTGATAAATATGTTTAATTCATGTCTGCCAAGTAATCTTTCACAACTTTTCATCGAAACAATAAAACTATTCGGCCGTGTCTTGGTTTATCTTGTTCCTAAATGGAAATCTGTTATCTGTTTAGCCATCTTATATAACTTCTCTAAACAAAATAAAAAAGAGACAGGTTTAGAAAAAAGCAAAATCGGGTGATCTAAGATCAAAACCTGATTAAACTTGTGTAAACAGAAATAATTTTCAAAAATAAGACGAACCGCAGGACAACGGATATTGATCATAGTTTACCTCTGACTTAAATACTTAGATTTATTTGAAAAAAATAGATTAATACTTTACCCGACAAAATTAAAAAAATCTTTAAATTATTTAGTTAGAAAAAAAAGGAAGGAATTATTTTATCGTTTATTCGCTTTTTACTTCTATAAAAAAATGTATTTTTTTATTATTCAAATTGTAGAAACGATAAAGACCCGTCTATAACCAGTTCCGACAACGATTTAAATAATCCCGGAAATAGTTTAGCCTACGAATGCGATAGTAACACTAGTGATGATCATATTGATAATGAGATTAATTTTGAGCAGGTATATGTTAATTATACATCATACTTTTTATGTTTTAAAACAGTTTGAACGCCCAAAATTTAGAGCTAAATTTTTTTGTTTTTTTTAAGATCAAGATATTATTTTTTATAAAATTTGGGATTTCATTATGAAAGATTTTTTTGTGCAAAAAATTTTCTTATAAAAGAGATAACTTATAAAAAAATTTTTGTTGTTAAAATTTTAAGTAAAATTTGATCAAAATCCTTAAGCATTATCAAAAAAAAAATATTCATTTAGAAAAAAAAGTATTTTATTTTGAATAGCATTTTAAACTCTTATAAAATAAGATCCATATGTGCACACTTCTTATACTTCTTCTCCGTTTATTGGCGATTTCCAGGTTTACCCAGGTTGGCCAGTTTTCCCTCTGATTTAATCATTAGGAGATTATGAAGCTAGGTTTTTACAATCGGATGCCCTTCCTGACATCAACCCCTTTAGGTGGTTTTTACATCCCGTCGAGTAGGCTGTGATCCTATTCTAGACCCAGACCACAGGGAACCTTTTAGACCTCCATTATCCGCCAAAAGACATTGCCACTCCCTCGCCACTATGAGGCTGAAGGTAAGATTTTTTTTTGTGTGGGGGATGTGGATACTATTACATTGTAAAATAAATATTTTAGATTATATAAAACTTTTCTCAAAACATTTTAACACAAATTCATAGTGCTCTATAGAAATGAGTTACGGTGTTCCTTCTTCAAATATAAAAATGGGAGGTAATCATCCAATATTCTAACTTATTCAATCATCCAGCCCCCTATCATGTGTATTTTTTATTCATTTTTTTTTATATAAAAGACTAAAATTGTTTAAGTGATGATGGTTGATCATAATGCATTCATTTTTTATGCGAAACTATTATTTACTATTTACAATAATTTTAACAAGAAAAAAAAATCTCTTCTTCATTTTATCAATTACTCAAAGCCATCCTTCGGTTCCACTCCAGCAACGCATAAATTAGAGGCAACCAAGTTACTCAATCTGCGACCACAAATCGCGAACAATAATAATGTTATGGCGGCAAAACAAGAATCTCCTTACAAACCTTCATCTTCTTCCTCGGTGCTCCTTCTCGATAAATATCCTAGCAACCGATTTTCCCGCCCCAAAATTAATAACAACGAGCACAACAAAAATATGGTCAACGCCGTCAACAATTTTGTGATGGCGACTTCCGACGAAAATAACGGCAAAGAGGCCATCGAATGCCTGGTTTGTTCCGAGAAAAAGGCTTCCGTCCTATTCAAGGATTGCGGTCACGTGTGCGTTTGTCAAAGTAAGACAATGGCATAGGGGGGGGAATGAGAGAATTTGCCATCCTCCATTCCAACCAATGTAAAAATAAAAAAATGTTAATTTAATTTTTTTTCAGGTTGTTCAGTTCTCGTCAAAAAATGCGTCAAATGCAGAGCGACTATAAGGCAAGCCGTGCCAATCGTGGAAACGATCGAAAAAGACGTGAAATCGAACAATCTCAAATCCTCCCTCCTTTACCAGGATAACGATTGTCGCAAGAATTCTAATCTTGATTTAGATAACCTGCTGCCTTCGACCAGCTCGAATAACCGCGATGATGATGACGATCTCAAGAATGAGAGCGGTAACCGTGAACAAGGTTCTAAGAAGAATCTCAAGGGCAATTGCCTCAACGAAAACATCAGTAATTATAAGGACGTCCAAAAGTTGCAGCAACAATTGAGGGACATCAAAGAACAAGTTAATAAAAAAAAACATATGTTTAAACTCAACCATTTGCCATACTTTATTATCATCAGTAGCGTCATTGGTGGAGGGGGAAGGGAGAGCGCACAGGGTCTCAGGGCTTCTGAAAAATTTAAAGAGCCCCGCTGAAAATTTTATTTGCCTTCCCCCTGATAATTGTAAAGAATATTGACACCACTGATTATTTCCCTTCACTTATTCTTAAGGTTAGTGTTATAATATTGACTATTCTGACTAAAATAAACATGGATTACCTTATGGATGTTTAACCATAATATTTCACTAATTTTTTTTAAAAAATTATAAATGGTCAAAAAAATTTTTTTTTTAGACAATGTGTCCTGTTTGTTTGGATAGATTCAAAAATATGATTTTTCTTTGCGGTCATGGTACCTGCCAGATGTGCGGAGATAGAATGAATGAGTGTCCCATATGTCGGAAATGTGTTGATAAGAAGATTCTTTTGTACTGATTGTTATAAAAATATTAAAATAGCTTCGAAATCTAAATTGTGATCGCGATTACAATATGTTTTTTAAAATAAAATTTTTTTTTTTGAAACAACGAAACAAAAACATATAAATCAAGAATTCTTAAATTCCCAAAAAATATTATAATATATTTCAAAAAAAATATCGAAAAATAAAATATGAATACAAAAAAGCAAAAAAATTCGTGATTTTTTTTTAAAATTTGATAATTTCTTGTCTTTTTGTATTAAATTTTTTTTTGCATTTTATTATTTTTTTTTGTATTTTTGAAAAAATAAATTAATTTTTTTTTTCAATAACCAAAAATCTCCAAATACTATATCTATGTTAAACTTTTTGTTAAACGGCTCAATTTGAGCCTATTTAAAAAAACGGCTAACACAATATTTTATCCAGAAAAAATATTGTCTAAGAAGCCTCGAGATTTCGTTAATAGATGTCCAAACCTTTGTGTCAACTAAGCAAAATCTTTAGGCTTGCATAATATTTTTCTGAATAAAATCGGCTCAAATCGAGCCGTATAACAATACACTGTTTAACTATTATATCATTAATATTTTTTTTCATAAATAGCTTATTTAAAATTAATATATATATTTTTTTAAATATTTATATTTGTAATAAGAATTTTTTTTTTACTTCAAAAATTTTATTGTTTACAAACGTAATCGTGAAAATTGTATCTTTTTTTAAAGTTATTTAGTAAAATCGTATTTAATATGTATCGATTTATAACATTTTCACGTATCTAAAAAAAAATAACTGTCATTTTTATTTAAAATGGCATTCGTTTCATACAATATTTATATGTCAATCAAATACTATTGTGTATAACCGTAAGTCAAAAAAAAATATTTATTTTGGCTCCTAGTAAATCCTCTTAGCTAGAGAATTTAAAATATTTTTTTTATATAACTTATTTTAAATGCCTTGTATAAAAAGGAGATTTTTATATGTGTATACATTAAAATTTTTTAATCTTGATATGTTAGTCAAGTCAGTATTATATTAAGAATGTCATATTCATATTAATGTGACTATAATTTATAGTTTTTTTTAATCACCCACTTTTGGAAGATACTTATAACGGCGGAGTGATATATAAATATACATTTTAGTAACTATACTGCTTCGCGAGAAAATTTGTAACTTACGCTGCGTTTATAGAAAGCGCGTTATCTTCAAGCGTTGTGTTATTTAACGTTATTACAAAACGCGTTTACTATAAATGCGGCCTTACTCATAATCTCATACTTTCAAGATAAAATGATGTTTTTTTATATATGATACCACCTTTATATACAATAATTTTTTTATATTTCAAAATATATAATATCAAAGAAAATATTTTTGTCACTTAGAGTCATTGTTGGCTTATATAGCTTATAATTGTTTAACTTTTTCTTTTAAAATAAATAAATGAAGTAATTAAGTTTACGCTCAAAACTGAAACCCCCTAATTAATGATGTTAAACGATTCGATTCTGGTCTATTTCTAAAAATGGCCAGATTAAGATTTTAGCCATTATAATATTATGTAAGCCTCAAGATTTGGCAAATAGATGTCCAGACCTTTCTGCCACATATGAGTAAGATTTCCAGCTTTGCATAATATTTTTTTTGGCTAATCTTAATCGGGCCATTTATACCTCTATTAATGAAATATGTTCCTTTTTTTCAAAATCAGAATTCTGAATAGTATTTTCTTTTCAGAATCAAAGAAATAAAGAACATTCAAGTATTATATTCTTAATTATTAGAAGTAAGAACACTTAGAACTTGTCAGAAATGAGCCACATTTTTGAATAAGACACCATTAAGAACTAAAAAAATCGGCTAAGCTCCTAACGACTATACCAGGAACTAAATTAGAAGAAATTATTCAGTTGTGTCATATCAACCGGATTTTTTATATCCATAAGAGAATTTTTGCATTTCTCTTCCGGTTATTGCTACATATAAAGTGTCAATTAAAAAAAATAATAATTTGATTATTTCTTAACGACTACCTTTATTTACCAATTGTTTATAATAATGGGAATAGATTTTATAAATAATTATGATTAATTTACAATCTGGCCATAAATAGTTAACTTGAAGTAATTTTAAAGGTTGATTAATATTTTTTTTACATTGTTTCTAATATTTTATTTTACTCCCCATGTCATAAGATACGCCAACTTCTCCCTGTAATCTCTAAAAATTCACAACTATACGCCAACTTCTCCCTGTAATCTCTAAAAATTCACAACTATACTCCACCTTATACGAGGATAAGAATTCATGAATAAGAACTCCCTAAGATATATAGATAATAATTAAATAATGCTAAAAAAATAGAGGCGAAATTTTGTTTTTCCAAGAATTTGAGAATTTTTTCTGAAAATTTTTTTTTTAAAAATGGTTTATATCGAAGCTTCATATAAAATACATTATATAGATATTATATAAAATAGGTTAATGATAGTCACCACCAAGTCAACGTATATCAATTTTCTAAATACCAACCATATACCGACCAAAATTTATTAAATAGTAATAAGTCTCTTATTATTTAATATATATTATAACGGAATCACGTGGTCGAGTCCGGCCTCCAATATACCCCCCCCCCCCCCCCCCAAGGATGGAATTACCAAATTAGATTAAGAAAAAAAAACATGATAATTGCTGGGATTCTAGGCAGCAGAGGCTTCCAAAAATCAGATTTTTCAATTATATATTATAAATAAATTTGGTAGTGTCTATCCAAATGAATGTTGATAAGTATTATCTTAAGGTAGTGACTATCATTAACCTATAAAATAGCTAAGAGTTATATAAATATTGAAATATATTGCAAAATAAGTATATACTGCGAAAAATGAGGGAATTTTTAGAATGCATTTCATAATTAGATATTAATTAATTATATCATTATAATCTAGTGCAAAAATTGGAATAGATCAAATAAAGGTTAAAAAAACCACAATATTCTCCATAACCAATTTTTTAAAATATTTTTAATAATATTAACTGCACGTTTCCTTAATTGGTTATCGTTTCAGACCTATGACTTGTCACTTGTCAGCCACTTCTTAATAATATGGAGAAGAATCAACTGACTCAGAGGAGGCCTTGTTAACGTTTTATTCATCATTAAACTGGAAATATGTTTTATCATAAGACTTGCACTCAAATCCGTCATAATGATTCAATATTTGAAACTCTTTCAAATCACGGAAAGGGGGGTGGGTTGCATTTATTACTTTCATTATTACCATCAACAAATACCTCGTTACATTTTTCGCGAGATACACGAACTTCAGTCGGAAACAAAACTTGTGATATATATTCATATATTTAGTTTTCACCTTTTTTTAGAAACTATTGTACTTTATATTTAATATTATTTTTACAAGTTGTACCTCTAGATATTTATATCTACGACAAATCTGATAATTATCTTTACCTTAGTTCATCTTAGAAAAATTGGAATTATTTTTTTAGCTGTTAGATATGTGAATTTAGAGAATACAAATAAAATAAAATACTAATTAATTTATTGAATAATATTAATTGTAATTTAATAAATTATAAATTAACATAAAAGGAAAAAGTAACAAAAATTAAAAAGCAAAGTAAAAATTAAAGTCAACTAAAATTTATAAAAATTTCTTCTTCATTACATTTTTTTTCCTCTATATTTATGCTAATAAAATTCATATAATCTCGTCATATTCATATTCAAATTTTACATGAACTCTAAAATAAAAAAAAAACTATTTTCCGTAACTATTCAAATTTATATAAACAACTATTGAATTAAATGAAAACTCAAGTAATAACATTCTAATTATTACAACATTAGCCTTTATTTAATTTTGTACGCAAGTAACTTTTTAACTCTGATACGATAAATTTTAAACTACAAGAACTACACTTTATTTTTCATCTAATAAATTCCAATAGTATAATCATAAAAATCGATATCCTTTATATTTTTTACAATCAATAAAAATAATAATAGCAATGAATATCAAATAATTCAAATTCCAATATATAATTCATTTCATAAAATCTCCGACTCATTTCATAAAAAATCACACACTGAATAAAAATATTATTTTTTTCAATAAAAACATATTATCAAAAGAATAATAATCCGATTGCACATCTTGAAAATAAATAAACATTTATTATTTTTCTCTTTAATTCAACATTTGCAACAGTAACGTTTCAAGTTTTTCTTTTCCCAAAAATCGAGAAAATTTATAATAACCAATTTTAGGAACATTCTAACATTTTCATACGGTAAATATAAATGATTAACAATAATAAAAATAATATTAATACATAATTCTTCAACTTAATAGAATAGATCTCATCATGAGCAAAGTTGCCAGGTCAAAATTTTCAAATAGCGGTTTGGTATTCTGCGGATTAAATATAAAAATTGCTAAAAAATATTTTTCGCGGGCCTTCGGCAGGGATTTTGCCTTAGTTATCCCTCTATCAATTCTTATAATTACTTTATATTAATATTAACAAAGTCGATAATGTTTTATAATTTCAAAATAGTTAATATTTTATACTTAATTTAATTTCTACTTCTTTGACTTGGAGTTACTTTATTTATAAAAAGAATTTAAACGTGATAATTAAGCGCCTAGCCCTATAATGTACAAACACATATGAAAATGATAAAATATGTCTGAAGGATTTCGATTTATTATTGGATAAGAAATTTACGAACTAGACATGTTTTTTGAACAAACATTTAAAATTTATTTTAAAAATATAAAAATAATCAATTACTGTTTCTCAAAATTATTATTTATATATTAAAAATGTTAAAATGCTAGAAAAAAAAATTGTATGGGAGATTTAAAAATTAATGTAGATTTTTGCGTTAGCCCAATTGCGGCAGTTTACGGAAGTGAGATGTCTGCGTGTAAACTAAAAAATTGCGGGAGTCTCCCGCTGATGGGTGTAGGCCTGGCAACCCTGATCTCGAGTCTCACAATTAATAAAATCAAATTCACGTTTCATTTTTACAAATACAAAGTTTAATTGCGATTTCCAGGTTGGCCAGTTATCCCTCTGATTTTTCTTTTCCATTTTTCCGTCC